CCATCCATCCATCCATCCATCCATCCATCCATCCATCCATCCGTTCCAGTGCCCAGCATTTGTGAGTTGACATGAGCCTTGCATTGTGCCCCAGACGACACAGAAATGTCTGGAACAAAGGTCCTCAAGCAGAGTGGCACGAGACTAGACCACAAGTTAACAAACAATATGGAACTTGAAAACATCTCTGCTCTTCGATTCCCAGGGAGGAGAGAGCGAGCATAACGCCATCACATGGATGCGGGTGTTTCATTGCCAGTAGTCACAGAAGAAGAGGGAAGCCCATAGAAGGTTCACTCAACACACAAAAGGAAATGCTGTTTCTCTGCAGAGGGAGACTGGGAAGAGCGAGCATGCTCAGGGGAAGAATGGCTTTTTCTTGGCTGACATGAGTTCAGAGTCTGCGGTGAACCGATAAATACCAGTGCTTCTGAACAATCATGGCTGAGGGTCTTGTGAGACGGGAAAGAAGGTGCCCACCTGCCCCGGTGCCAGGACTCACCCTTCTTCACGGCCACAGTGAGGGTGGTTGTGCTGCTCAGCCCCTGCCCATCAGTCACCGTCAGACGGAAGCGGTGGGTCCCCACCCGGAGCCTGCGCACCGTGGCTACGGCGTCGTCGGGATTTTCCATCTGCACGGCGCCAGGGCCTCTGTGGAACGGAAGTGAACAACAAAGCAGAGCAGGCATGGTATTCTGATTATGGCAGGCACGATGTTTGTGTCCTTATAAAAGCCCGTTTCTACAGCTAAAACACAGCATCTAGAGAATTCCAAGATAACTTTTTAAATCCACTTAAATTCTCTAGTTCAGGGTACGGGTCATAAGCAAATGCCTATTTTAGAATGAGCCTGCGGGATTCCTAGGAAGAAGGTTTTTGTTTTTTGGGGGTTATTTTTTAAGATTTTATTTATTTATTTTAGAGAGAGTGCGCACGCAGGGGAAGGGGCAGAGGGAGAGACAGAATCTCAAGCAGACTCTGCGCTGAGCGCGGAGCCCAACACGGGGCTCAATCTCACGACCCTGAGATCATGACCTGAGCTGAAACCAAGAGTCGGGTGCTTAACCGACTGAGCCACCCAGGTGCCCCCAGACCTGTTTGGTTTTTTTTTAAATTGAGCTGTCAGTGAAATGATCTGTCCTTACAAAACGGAGTCTTAGAAACTACTCCCATTCCCTCTTTGAATGAAATTAGGTTAAATCCTCATTTATCTTGACAGAGAGTATGGAAGAGGAAGGGATGAGCCAGATCACAGATCTCCGAAGGGCAATTACAGTGCGGTTATTAAGACTGTGGGCCCTGTCGTCGGAAAAACCCAGCTGCCCCCCTTACCGTCTGGGCAAACCTAGGCTTGTGATGTCACTAGGCTCTGAGAGGCAGAGCAGATGGTTTGGTAGCCAGGAGGCCTCTGAGGGCCTCCCACGGGTCTCCCAGCACCTCGTCGGTTGTGAAGCTCTCCCACCCCAGATGGCCCTGTCCACACTTGATCTGCTCTTCAACAACAGTGCTCCTCACTCCCCAACATGCTCGAGTTAACTAATTTGGGCCCTCCAGAGAGGGGGCGATGTTAGCCCTGGGCCAGGGACGTGACCCCCACGGCTCAGGGGTAAGAGGGCCTACCGGACGTGCTCCCAGTGGTAGAGGACGATGCCCTGGTCGTCAGTGCTCCTGCTGCCATCCAGGGTGGTGCTCTCCACCGGGAAGACCAGCTCCTTGTCCGGGCCGGCCACAGCCACCGGAGGCCTGTTGTTTTCTAGAATTACAGAAATGGTGGGAAACACTATTATCTCTTGGGATTAAGTCTTCGATCCCCTGCTTTCTTGATTTTGGCAAATTACTCCTATTTGGATCAGGCGGGGACTAGAGTGTACGGGACACCCGGGGGAATCCTGGGGAGAAACACTGCAGTTTTGAGGGTGAGGCTGGGGGGTACAGACAGAAGGAAATATTGTTCCCTAATACATATATGTTTGGTTTCCTTAAAAAACCTCGAGGGGCGCCCTGGGTGGCTCAGTCCGTTAAGCGTTTGACTCTTGGTTTCGGCTCAGGTCATGATCTCAGGGTTGTGAGATCAAGCCCCCCACCACCGTCAGGCTCCACACTGAGCGGGGAATCTGTTTGAGGATCCCCCCGACCTCGTGCATGTGTGTGCGTGTGTAATCTGTCTCTCAAATAAACAAACAAATAAAATAAAAGACCTGGAAAGTCATGGAGTCAAGAGAGAAGGAAAAGGAACAGGATGGGCAGATGAACAGAAGAAGGACTAGGGAGAGTGGGGGCAGGCAGGCAGGAACTGGAAGGAAGTGAGTTGACAGCTGCTTTGTCAGGCAGGACTTACTTCCTTTTGTCTTTGTAGCCCCAGGGCCTAACACAGTGCCTGGTAAAGAATAAATGCTCGAAACATTTCAGTTAAGTGTTGAACAACAGTAAAAGGTATAAGGGGCGCCCGGCCAGCTCAGCCAGTAGAACACACGACTCTTGATCTCAGGGTTTTAAGTCCAAGCCCCGCGCTGGGTGTGGAGAGGACTTAAAAATAAAATCTTAGGAAAAAAAAAAAGATTAAAAAAAGCAAAAGATATAAAGTATTGCTGATATTGATATTGAAATAGACAAATTTTCTGTTAAAATAAAAGTCATGGAGTCAAAAACTGAGGCAGCTATGACCCAGTACCATGTCCAACCCTCACTGTGCTACTCAGTAAAGTTCAGTGAGGCCGTGGTTTCTCCTGTCCTTAGGATCAAATGCGTGACCACCCATTACAAAGCCCTGGATGGGAGCCCCACCTCTCTCCAGAGCATCCTTTGGCATTCTAATCCCTGTACCTCACACTCCCATGTCCTCGCTGCTTTCTCTTGTCCCACTACATTCTTTTTAATTCCTTCAACTACCAAACTCCCTTTCATCCCATGGCTTTCATACACTGTTTCCTTCACCTAAAAAACTCTTCCTCTTGCCCTTCTCTCCCCAGATTCACCTGGCCAACTGCAGACCTGAGCTCAGGTAAGACTCTCTGCAGATGCCTCAAGCCCACATAGGTGGGTCCTTTCATGGGCTCCAGCAGCGCTGTGTCCATCCCCTAGAAATGCACCGATCCTGTGGTTTTTCAGTGGACTTCCCCATGAGCCCTGGGAGGACAGAGACCAAGTCTTTCTTGTTTAATTCCACATCCCTGGGGTCTAACCACTAGCACTTACTACATACTAAGTGAATAAATAAAACAAATAAATGCGTTGCCTATAAGCTGAGTGTATTTTCAGTTGCCAGTACACTGGATGGTTACTGGGATTAGCAGCATCTTCTAGAAAAGTTCTAAAGCAAAGAGCACTGCCATGCAAAAACTAACCACCCTTAAGGTTATTTAAATCTGCAGGAAGGCAGAGTCCTGGCTTTTCATGAAACCATTAATGGATTGAGAGCTGACCTGGAGTCAAGTCTCCATCTGACTATGAGCCATTGAGCTACCAGGCCACACATCATGACCAGACTCTTCAAGAAGGCCCTGGAGCTCTGCAGCAGAATGGGACATGTGGAGGGGTGTCTACCTGGCAAGTGGAGCCCTCGAGGGGCCCTGAGGATGTCCATCTGGGCCTCTGTGCCATGGTTTAAAGACACAGTCAACACAAGATTCCGAACTACAGTAGAAACCTGGCTTTGTATTTAAGATTCAGCTCCTCCAGCCCCAATTTCTAGATAGTTAAGACATTTGGAGAATTTGCCTCCAAATTTCGCTTGTCTGAAGCACAGAAGCCCAGGTGTCATTTCTGCCTTAATCTCTGGGGCCAAAGCCCCCTTTCGTCTCACCTACCGGGCTGGACAGTCACAGTGACCACAGCCGTGGATCGCTGCTTTGAAGAATCTGTCACCATCAGCTGGAACATATAGTCTCCTTCCTGCATGGCCGACAAATGAAGGTATGGTGTCTCAACACCCTAAGTAAAAGCAAGTAGAGATGAGAAAGAAAAAAAATAATAATTTTAAGAAGTAGCATGACGTAATGAAAAATGAATGCTTTTGGCTAAATATGGAGATCCTGCGTGAAAAAGAAATGTGTGTGCCCCAAGGAAATGCAATCTGAAGTTCAGTGTGTATCCTCACACGCTGTTGAAGAAGTACAAATTAATTTGGCCTTTTTGGAGGCCCATCTGGCAACATCCACTGACATGTTAAATGAGCATACTCCAACCAGTGATTCTACTTCTTACTACCTACACTAGGGAAATGCCCATGCACACAAGGAGCCTCACACCTGGATGCTGACAGAAGCATTGTTTATAGTAGCAAACAATGGAAACAGTCTAAATGTTCATCAACAATGCGGCACCTGGGTGCTTCAGTTAGTTAAGCAGTCAACTCTTGATTTCAGCTCGGGTCAGGATCTCAAGGTCATGAGATCGAGCCCTGTGCTGGGCTCCACACTCACTGGGGAGTCTGCTTGAGATTCTTTCTCTCCCCACCGCTTGCACTCTCTCTGTAAAATCAATCAATCAATCTTTAAATAAACTTTCATCAATGGGGTGTGGCCAGACCCACCATGATACACTACAATGTTAGTTTAAATTTAAAGTTTAAAAGAATAAGGTAGATTTATACATATTGAAATGGAGTTGGACTCCATGCTAGGCGTGGAGCCTACTTAAAGGAAAAAAAAATGTCTGTAGCTTATAAATAATGAAATGAAAGATGTCAAAGACATACCATCAAGCAAAAAGAGAAAGTTGCAGAACAATGTATAGAGTGTGACAGATATTTCTATGTGTACATATGCATATACACAGAACACACAGAAAAGATTCTGTAAGGACAGACATTAAGCTGATAAAATTATCACCATAAGGGGACTGGGGTACAATCAAGGTGTATTTGTACTTTATCAGAAGTTACCTTATTTTTAACTACAAGAAGCAATTCATGCATTACTCTTACAAGTAAAAATAATTTTTTAAAACTCTAAGACAACAAAATTTTTCTTTTT